AGCTGAGTTAAAATTAAAAGTTTTTCTAGGATTTCACACTCAGTGGAGTTTTAATAGAGTAAAAATTTAGGATTTTGTGGAAAACTTTTTTAAACTACGGGTAGGAAGTAAAGTGAATGACAGCGAAAGAAACCTCCATTTAGGCAATCTGAAGAAAACATTCGATGTCGGTTTTCTTTGTTAGTATACTTGAATATGTTTGGGGCGCAAATATGTCACTGTTTCATTGAAGCAAAAATATTTTGCCGACAAAGAGAAAATTATTACGTGACAAATAAATGACAAAGAGACACAGCCAAACATTGTCAGGAAAACGACCAAACTGCTAAATCTGAGAGAAAAAACAATGGATAAAAGAGACGACACAAACCAAACATTTACAGAGTGTCAAGAAAAGTGAAATGTTTAGCATGAAAATACGATTTTTATCAACCAATCGCTGTTGAGCTTAGAAAGTTTACTCAGAGCGCTTGTGAATTTTAATTGGCGGAGAAAATAGGAAGTCTGCATAATACACAAAGAGCTGCTCTATAAAGAGAGACGTCTCTAACACCCAAACTCAGTTGTAATTAAACAACTTTCAAGGCAGTTAAGAATTCCCGTCAGTTCCCATCAACAAGACTTTCAAAAGAGAAACAACTCGTTTCATTAACATACTGATCTGCGAAGCCAACTCGAGTTTTACAAAGGTAAGCTAAGTTTGAGGAATTTTTTAATGTATCTTTATTATATTTTTGTTATTTGAATCCTTTTGACGAAGAGAATTTTCCAAAAATTGCTATATTTCCTTCAAGGAAGATTGGGAGTAAAGACCAACGGTCAAACCGAATTGTGATAAATGTTCTTACCGGAGGCAATTTCGATAGAAGCTTGTGGGCTGACAAACGACAAAGTAAACAAGAATTCTCTTGGTTGTTGAATGTTTATGAGACTACAACCGTTAAAATTTGAACAGTCAGAAACAAGGACACGACTCAAAGTAAATCTTGACTCAGCTAAAACTTTTTGAATTTCCAACGTGAGACGTGAGTAGCGTTAAAAAGTCTCCGAGCTGCTTAAAACTCGGTTCAATCCAATGAAGAACAAGGAAGATGGGTTGTTTTCTGTCAATGGATAAACTACAGTTCTTAAAATAAACAAATCACTGGGTTTTTTCCACAAAAAAATACGTTTTTCGTTTGGTAGATATATTTGTAATGTTTAAGGAAGCAATTCTTCGTGACTTGTTGTGTTCGGTAGTTTTTTACGCCCGTTCCAATATTTGGACTGTTTTGTTGAGTTGTGTTTGCAGATTTGATATGGCTGTTGGTTAAAGAAAGCTAACTATTGAACAGTTAAACTTCAGTGAGCCCGCCAAAAATCATTGTCACGTTCCATTTCCCGCCAAAAAATGTTGAAATCGTTGATTTGTGGCTTACGTATTGAAAGTTAAGCCGTTGAAACTGTATGATGTGAAATTTTTGGGGGGTGATTTAAACCGAAATAAGTAGATAAGTGTTTGATAATTAAGCGCCCAAGGGCAAACAGCTATCTTAACTTTTTGTCATCGAAACTGAAGATCAAAAGCCGATAGAGATGATGCTATTTACGTCCGAAGCCGTAGAGGAACATCGCAAATCACAAATACAGTTCTTAGTAAAGGCGAGTGAACTCAAAATGTTTATATTTCATTTGAACGTATCATGGCTAGGCAGTACTCTCCTGTTCTGTTATGTTAACAGAGCGTATTTCTGCCTTTTTTTACGGACTGAGTAAGGCTGCTTTTCGCATTTCTCAAATATTTAGAAACCGCTGTTTAAAGAGCGAATTTACCTGTCAGCACGTCTGTAGATTTGAATTACACTAGCTTTCACAGGATTTCGTGCATAACTGCTTTTCCTGGGTGCTTAAAGCATGTCAAACATCTAAATTTACGATGTTCACGTCACCCAAAATAAACTACGGAACAATTCGGACAGTGGTCTATGTTTAGGGCCTTACGGTGTCCAGTACATATAGACTGTTCAGAGAACACAACGTTAGCCTTAACAGGCTCCGTAACATTTACTTGATGGGCAAAATCGTTTCTTTTGGTACACAAAGTTCAACAAACATTTTTTATAGGCGCTTGTTCAAACTTTCCGCTTTGACTCACGTATTTTAAAACCATTTTTTTTTTCATTTAGTGTAGGGATGTCTCGAGGTTGCTTTAAGAGTTATGCACGTGATAATCTGGAAAAACTCTAAAAAGAATTTTCACTGGCATAAAAATAATAAAACACTGCGGATGATCGATCTGCAAACGTGGTTTGTTTACCTTTGAAAAGTAACACAAGACATATTAAAATTTAAGCTCATTTTCAAAACAGAAGGAACACTTTCCAAAATTGACAGCTTTGTTCCTTATTAGAAAAATGAAATGTCGCATCTTCTCTCGCAGGAAATTAGAAGTAAGAATTATTAAGAGGCACCACTATAGCTCACATTAGTCCACGCGAAAGACTATGATATTTTCCGTCGAAACAAACGTATTGAAATTGAAGGGCGCAAAAATTAATGAACACTCCGCAAAAAACTTGGACAATTGAGAGCGAAATGATTGCAATTAGTGGTGCACATCAATGGCTAGTCGGCTGTCGAGTGCTTCCTTTAGTTATTGAATGAAGAATAAGAGTTTAGTGAGATTAGCGCAAAACCAACATAAGCAAGGTTATAACATACGGCTCTCCACGACAGGTGTGTCAGTTAAATTAAATTTAACCACAAAATTCGATTCCCTCCTAATGTAGGGACAAAACTAGTCAAGGAAAGAAGGATGATAAAAATTTCTTAATCACCAATAAAGGTCTTTAAAACCTTAGGCGCCTTTTATTTCTTCATATTGTCAGGATTGTAACTATCACTTAGAATTTCTAAAGAAAGCCGATTGCAAAGAAAAGCGTGCATAATTGAGGTGTCTTTTACATTCTAAGGGTTCGACCTAAATAACGGCTCTACTTAATAGGAAAAATTGCGGTAGTTCACAGCAGGGCCGATTAAACGAGATTCCGTGATGTTTGAAAAGCCCAGATAACTAAGTAGTACAGTGCGTTTAACGCTTCCTTTAGATTCCCTGGTATTAAAGGAATTGCAATTCTAAAGTCTTTCATAATCCTTTAGTGACAACATTCGGTTTCCACTCTCTAACAAAGTTTATTGCTTGCATCGTGGCGCGATTAACGCTTAGTAAATCTTCTGTAGACAAAACAAAGACGCTTTTTCACATCCAGATAGGGTAATAAAAACTAAATTGCGGCAAACACTATACAACACAAGCCATTTCGACGCACAGATAGTGTTGCCGGCGCTAAGCAAACAGGTTGGATTGAGCATAATAGAAACTACGCCTTCAGAGAACTAAAGGTTGTGAGGTCTCTCTGCCTGAATTTAAGTTCCTTAATGCTCGCATTTTGATCGAGAACCAAGCATGCAAACATTTAGAAATAGGATCCTTAAACACTAAGGGTCGGAAACAACCAAATAATGTCTGTTTGCAAGGGTTAGCAGTGTTAAGTTGGTCGGTCAATAATTCATCTTGTTCGATTGCTCATTTCATGAAGATAATCTCGGTCGCAAGCCAAGTTCTAAGTTATGAGAAAGTTTTGGCCAAGTTTCACTCCTGCCGGGTGAAATTTGGAAGTTGTGAAAGCTTGACACATCTATTCAAAATGGGCGGCTTGCAATATGAAGGTCATTTGAAATTCTTACCATTATAATCACTGTAGATCTACAGCTGTCTGATAAGGCACCTGGAAATGGCTTTTGTGGAATGATTGACGCAACCCAAATTTGTTAATTAATTGCCTCAGTTTCCGGAAATGAGAAATTGGATTCTAAAAATTCTACATTTCTTTCGTCCCACGCGCCATAAAAAAACTTACAGATTTTATCGCTCCGTTTTTGAGCGTGCAAATGTCACAAGCAAAGAAATAAAGAATACCCTTAGCAAAAATATTTGCTGTGAACAAACCAATGTGACTTTCTTAGCGAAATAGCCGTGAATGATCGATTCAGACAATTCAGCCATCGCTCGAGTTTGACAGCAGTTTAGCAAAAGTTATTAAATGAAAGCCGTGTTTTTGTGTGTTATTTAGCTCGCGTTTCTCCCGGACCGATCTTAATGAGTCTAGTAAACTAGAAACAAAGCACGCAGCCAGAGGCTTAGAATAATTTAAATCGATGATACAACGACCAAAAGATATCCTCGCAATAATGCTAGAACAGGTGTTTCTAGAGCAATTGCACTTTAAAGCCGAGAGCAAGGTCTTTCTCTCACTAGGCTTTTAGTCTTTACATTTAAAAAGGCCGGTGCCTAAGAAGTAAAAAAAAGCTTTGCGCCAAGATAGTTTCCAGTGGTAATTGCTTTTGTTTGTGGAATTTATGTTTGCAGTTGTTATGCTAATTGCGGAGGCCAATAGCAGTCTGGCAGGACCTAGGTTACAGCTAGGCTCTACAAGAATGTTAAGCGACCCCGGTTGTTCGTGCGGTCAGTTTTTGACGTGAATAATTTGAGCACTCAAACGCTAAATTGCATAGCTTTTAAGGTGTTGTGTGATGACGGAGGGCTTTTACCGCTCCAATCTAACCCTCCTTCCTGTTCTTTCAAAGATATCAGCACCTTTAGATCTTTTGCCATTAATGTTTAGTTTATCCTGTGCGAACGGTGATCTTTGTGTAGTGTTGACATTAAGGATACGAGATAGGACCGAACCATAAAGTGTCCTATCGAAATAATTGTATTTGCTCATGAATTATGAAACGGCAATTTGTTTGTAAGCCTTCGTGATGGACAAGCGATAATGGACCCCACAACTTTTAATAAAATGTCTCCCCACGGGTGGTCGCAAAGGCCCCTATGTCAATAAACGTAGCAAGGCTCCAAAGGGCTTTCCCATGGAACAATAGCTTGGGAGGGGCTTACAGACATGTCACGTTAAGCCTGTTTACGAACTGTCACTAAAAATAAAACTTCTTATTACTAGGAAAAAAGAGTAATCTACGCTGGTCTCCGTGGTAGAAGGACGTGACAGGACGGTACGAAAGCTACGTTCAGTCATCAAACAATTTTTTTTAAACACAGTCGACGTGCTGATAAAATAGAGAACAGGCTACATCATGATGGAAGCAATGAATCCCGGCAATCCTGCAGCCGCTATGGGAGTCGGAAACCCGCAAGCACAAGGCCACCCTTTGGACGACAGCAAGAGCAAGCAGGCGAAAGAGAAAGTTTACCGTCGAAGTTACACTCACGCTAAACCACCTTACTCTTACATTTCGCTGATAACAATGGCCATCCAACAATCGCCGAACAAGATGCTAACGCTCAGCGAAATTTATCAGTTTATCATGGATCTGTTTCCGTTTTACAGACAAAACCAGCAGCGGTGGCAGAACTCCATACGACACAGCCTCTCCTTCAACGACTGCTTCGTGAAAGTGCCTCGATCGCCGGACAGGCCTGGTAAAGGAAGCTACTGGACACTGCATCCCGACTGTGGAAACATGTTCGAGAACGGCTGCTATCTACGCAGACAAAAACGCTTCAAGGCGGATAAAAAGCCAAGCCTGAATGACCTCCCTAAGCCAGGGTTGTTGAGCCCGGTTGTGTCTTCGATGCATCATCAAAAAGTCCAAGGACCAAAGAGTTTAGGAGCACCCAGCTTTCTTGCACCGTCTCCTTACAGTGCAATGAGCGCAATGGGCGCCATGGGAGCTATGGGAATGGGAGCAATGGGGTCAATGTCTATGAACAAATCATTTAATCATCCATTCGCCATCAAGAACATCATCGCCTCCGACCACGAAGCCGACCTCAGAGGCTTCGATCCAATGCACTTTAGCCCGTATCACCCAGCAGGAATGTCTTCATCCATGTCTTCTCTAGGACTACCAAAACCCTACGACACTAACCCTATAACAACTGAGCCCAGTCCGTATTACCAAGGCTGTGTGTTTACACCTTCCAGTTGCGCGGGAATAGCAGGATTTTCAAACATTTCATAAACTGATTCATAAACTATTCCGGGATGTTGGACGCTTAAATTATGTACTATTCCAGGCGCTCGGGAAGCTGCCTTGTAAATTGAGTTATCTGCTATGATACAGTTTGCCAGTGTATACGAATTAATACTTAAATTCGAAGGTGATTTTGTTGATTATATGTCAAGTAGGCGTTTTTCACTATCAAAAGAAGACCCAAACGTTAACGCAAATATAGGAGAATTATATGAGAGTTAAAGAATATTATAAGAAGTGTGATATAGCTTGTACCATTTCATTCAGTCGTCGTACTCACTGTGATTATAGAGTATTTTGACGAAAGTAAATGTATAAATCAAAATATTTTGAAACTGAATTAATCGGAAGACGTGATCGTTTAAGTTATGTTTGGGGCAATTCAAAATTAAGAGCATTTGTTGCAAACTCAGTACGTTATTGTTTAGTGTTTTTTTGCTGCAGGGGCAAAGATTAGCCAGAAATTCTCCAAACTACCGAGTTATTCGGTACAGACTGCTCTTGTGGTTAGCCGTTCGTATGTCTACTGTGTATTTAACACTGTGTTTACCATTATTTATACAAGCAGGGAGAGGTTTTGTAAATTTACAGTCTTGCTCAAATAGCAGTTGTTGGTTCAACGAAATAAATTTTTAACGAAGAGTTTTCTTGACGTCTTTATTGTTTTCTATGTCGCCGTTGCAGTAAGTTGAGGTTGTTGAGAAGCGAAGTCAAATTAATTATTTATCGGCTGGCAGCGAAAGCTAACAGCCTTCCAAATGCCAGCTTTTTTAATTAAAAGTAATCAATGGTTCGACATTTCCCGTAACAGTTTTGACAAATACTTGGCAAACCGAGTTATAACATTTAGAGCGCGGCGATCAGCCTTGACATGTGTCGCGCGCGAAGTGAGGAATAATCCTTGCGCGCCCACCGCAAGGGTACCCTAGCATGTGGCCCGGCTGCAAACAGAAAATTGTGGCGGCAACATTACGATGTGTGAAAACCACTTTACACGCAGTAATCGAATTTGAGAGACTTTTTCCAGGATAGAACGTGTAGTAAAGATGTTAAAACAGTTCGCCGGTCGCTAGCGGTCCCTTTGAGTTTTTTCCTTAGGATCATCTGCCATCCTTTTCTCTAATTTTCGGCCCAATAACCTTTTCTCATGTCGATGTTTCTTTGAACAACAGTAATATCTAAAAACAGCTTTTCTTTGCTGGGAGAAAAAGCCTATAGTGTCTTAGCGCTGAATGACGTGATGAAAGATTGAGAACCATAGCACAAACTTGCCTCAAATCAGCGGGAAAGCATTCTAAACATACTAGTTCTTGAATGATTCGAACAATCAACACGCCAATCTTTCGCAAACTTTGGAACTTGTGTTTGAAGAAGTCCTCTTTCAGGAGATCAAATTTCTTGAAAGGGTTCTTAACTGCCCAAACTCGACTGGGTTGTTAGTTTAAACACCAACCTGTATACACAGTCAGGCATGCATTATTAGCTCAAAAAATACATTGAATTCGATTGATAGCTAAGGCGCTGATGATGTTGACCGCTGTCGAAACCTTCTGTTCCTACGAATAGAATGGGAAGTTAGGTCTAAAGCTTTGGTGTATACTAGCCAGGGTTGAAGTTTGAGCAACGAGGGATTGTTTAAGGTACGGTAAAGACATTTTGCTTTTATTCGCATACATCTTCGCTAAACTAACTCAAGCGAAGTTTCCGTGGGAATAAGCGGGCCTCTCGTTGGAGCAATGAAACGGATCGATCGGCGGCGATCACCTCGGTCACAGTTTTTGGTAACTCACGACATGGTTATCGTATTTATCTTTTGTCCTGTCTTTCGGACACTATTTTATGTCTTACTCTAGTGCAAACTTTTCATCAATTTCAGGGACTTTGTTTGAGTAGTTTCCTTACCAAGTGAGCGCTTTGTGCAGTCCACGAAGCAGCTCTATTTCGTCACGTAAGCCGATTAAAACTTACTAAAGGAAAATTTGCGTTTGACAAACGACGTAAGGTCATCAGGACAGGGATTTTTCGAATTCAAATTGTTCCTGATTCGCCTTAGCACACCAAGTCGTAATGAGGTGACAGTTGTTCGCCGCGAATGAATGTCAATTCCGCGTGAACACGGCGTGAAGCTCCGTGCTCTGAGCGTTGTTCACCGCACGCTGCTCCCTGAAGTGATACATAAACGTCCTATAGCCTATAGCCTGATTATAATTCTAGGTTAAGTCGTCTGGAGTGCTCCCACATATCACACATCTGTTAAGGTACGTTTATCACTTGAACTTATTACAAACGGGAACAGTGTGGTAAAGATACTGCATTCAGTTTCGCTACTCAAGATCATATTGAAAGGAATATAACTGCGTCGTTTTATGGCCAGTGTCAGTTGAAGACAAAACGAGAAAAGAAAATCATGGCATCATTAAAAGTTTAATATGTTTATCACCTTAAGTCGGCAAAATGAGCGATTTAGGAAAGCCGGAAGATGCTTCTGAACGATTGTTCTAACCGGCCATCATTTCTAAACGAAACGAGAAGATTTTGAAGTGTACAGATCAAGGTTTACGTGGAATTATATATAACAATTGGCCTAAGGCGTTTGAGTTAGGGACCCTACTATAAGAGACAATTAGAAGAGAGTTTAGCCTTGCGATTAATTTTATTCAATTTATCCCACAGAGGAATATCAAAGGCTCCGAAATCTTTTAATCAAGCTATGACACAATCCGGTTCGAACTGGCGGCATTTTGTTCTTAGTTTTAAAGGAATTCAATCGAATTTGAAGATGTCAGGTAGCAGCGAAGGTTTAGTGTTTATTCGGAAACAATGTTCCTTTGTTCTGTTCGTATTTGGGGACACGGGTTATGGAAGTGATCATTTACAACTTAGACAAGATATTTCATGCTTGAAGACGGAGGAATACCATGTTTTTCATGTCCAATCAACCTTGCAAGCTGTGATGGCCGGGGAAATTGGGGTAGACGTAGGAGTAAACTATATTGACTAGCTTTGTTTATGTTTTCTTTGCTAAACCTGGAAAACGCGAATAAAGCAATTTTCCTTAAGTTGTAATCAATGAAGAACGTGATTCTAGGTGAAGAAAAGAGCAAAAGTTTGTAACAAATTGCTCCTCTATCGCACACGAAGATTCGAAGAGTCAAACGCACTCGCTCTATTATTAACGTTGGATAATAACTGATCCAACAGGGCTTCTGGTTACTTCACTAATTTAAGGGTTTCGTGACCAGATTTCTTTAAATTCACTCACTTTACCCTTTCTTTAGTTTACAAGTGGTTTTCAATAGTTTTCATTTGGGCTAGAAATGCAAAAATTAAGCCTTACAATGAAGCGGGACGCGGAAAATCTTTTCGCTTGTTAAGTGGCTTTTTATGGTTCATCTTGAATTTCATGAGTTTTGTCTCTGCCAAAAGGTTCAACCGATAAGAGCGCAATTTATTCTGGCCGCGTTCTCATTCAGAGTTGTGTCATAATTCAATATCTGCCTTAGTCACTTAAGAGAAAAATAAAAGTATCGCATTCAGAGAGAACATCTGCAAAGCTGCTCACTGATAAAGCTGACTAGCGCGTGCCTCCCAAAAAGCGGGCAGGTACTTCGGCTGTTGTTACTCGAACGCAGTCAACCCAAATTTCCTTTTTGATCTTATCTAAGCCCGTGCCTGCTCTAATTTATTTACAACACGAATTGTGTGCAAACTGAGGAATTGACATGAGAAGATGATTGCTTTCATCAACGATAGACTAAGACAGATTACTTCTGAAGATGGCACCAAGATGTTTTGAGGTCAGCCCCGAGATTGAATGTAAATTCATCCGGTTCTGCAATTTAAGCCTTTGTAGTATTTATTCAAAACCCTTCTCAATAAAAGAAACTTGAAACTCAGTCGATATTTTCTTAAACGATATTCGAGACACGCGTCCGACTCGAGTAGAATGAGAGTGAATGATTATCAATCGTTTTAGTGAGCAAACACGCCGACCACCCATAGTTGTCCAAAGAAAAACCTTATGGCTTCCCTTCGCCTGAAAATATATTTTCTTTGAGGTCAAAGGCGTGTTTAACTTACAAACCTGAAATAATAGGCGTGCCTGAAAACTGAAAGCTTTTTCTAAAGCATGTGTTGTTTGAACTCGTGAGTGACTTTTTCGATTCAACGAGATTAGACCTCAGGAAGGAAGTTTCGAAAACGAGCTGAGGAAATGGCGACATTAGTTGGGGAGGGGAAAGCGAGAGAGGTGCGGTGGATTAAACACTCTACCGCTGTCAGCAAGGTCCTTGAGTTATCACAAAATATTTCTGATAACAATACCCTGGATTTTCTCGTCGCCAACGTAAACATGGACAAATTTTGCCCTTTCACAAAATAACATGCTCGAACTATGGCGAACATCCAGTGAAGTTGCGTCGAGCTTTATTGAAATTAAGACCTCTTTTACCTCGATATCTCAAGTGAATATTTCTGGTGTAGTTTACTGGCGAACGGTTTTCAATAAGTGGTTCAATAGGGGAAAAACATTTAAAATTCTAACCAAGTATAAAAGTTTACAGCAGGACAAACTTTGCGAATCAGTGATTCAACTTGATGAGTTAAATATTTGCATGTTATATAGTTAACTGCTGGCTTAGGGAAAATATTGTTAAGTACACAACCCTGTTAAACTTTACTATAAATGTTCTCCAGAAGCTAAGACTTGGCTGTCACTGGTCAACAAGCTCCCTGTCGATGTTTTGAAATCTAAACGGTATCAGAAGATGTATGATTCGCTTTTTACGAGTTAGTTTCAATTGCTGCTTTGAACCCTTAGAAGTAGAACTAGAGCCAAGTGAACGCCAGCTAGGTCTTTTTAGCCACTCCACAGAGAGACTGATTATGTTTTTGCTTTCCTTTGTGGTTTAGCGACTGAATGAGATAGAATTCTCGTTGATGCACCACGAAAAACTTGAGAAGCTTTGAAAATGATATTCTTCAGTAATGGTTTCTAGTAGCGCACGTGGACAGAAGGCGGACAAAAGAACTTCAAGGTATGGCAAACGGTATCTCGATTTTTATCATGTTCAGTCCAAAGCTTGCTACGAAAGTTAGTAGAGCTTAATCCTATTAACTCAAGTGTATTAAAAATGTTTCTTTGGCTCCAAATTCCTCAGTTAGAGCTTTAGAGAAAATGGGGTTTTGCAGCCTCTCACACCGATGAAAGAACTAGTAATCGAATTAGGTTCAATGTTATTCAAAAGCGACCTACATGTGGCCTTCCGTAAATGTTTAGTCTTCTTCGCAAAGATAATTTTAGTGCCCGGCTCTCCGTTTCTCTAGAAAGTGTTTTCATACCAGAATATTTTCAGTTTTGTCTTGCTACTAACAGGATTTGTCATGTTACATCAACTGATTGCTTATAAGAATCAGCCTCTAGGCTGATTTTTCGTCTTTACTAGGTTAAAGCTCGGCAGCTTCATTATGTTGTCTTAAAAATAGGGCGTCTGGCATACCACAGTGAGACTAAACATAAGTTATCTCGAAAAGTTCAGAGCATTAACACAAGTTATGGTCGAATGTGCCATAAAATCTACTTATTCGTAACTGAATACTAATGTTCTTGTACCAGTTGTGATGACCGAATGATTTGTTCGCCAAGCACCAATCCAGATTTGTTTCTCTCGCAAAAAAACTTACATTTCTAGCCTAGAAGTATTTTTCTTAGCGATGTTTTGAAAACGTCATTTCAGGCTCCTAGAGAAGAGCAGTAATTATTTATCTGCCAGAACTTACAGCAAACAAATAAACATGGCGAACATGTCTGTTTGATTACTGGGCAAGTCCGAAGACATGAATACAATTACTAACGATGACAGCGTTATAGATGAGACCAAACAAACTTCACCAAGAAAGAGAATTGGAATAAATTCGAAAAACTTTTGGCAAAAATGTTTTGAAACTAAAAACGTTGGTCGATGGCTTTTAGGGGGCAGATTATACTAAGGTAATCATAGGAGCACATGAGTTTCAATTTAGGGCGTTGCAGTTTTTGAATGGAAATTCACATTTCTGTAAGTCGGGTTGAAAAGTTTCCTTTTTTAATTTTATGGAAAATAATCCAGCATTGGGTAATGCGATTCTTGCCCCTCGGGTGAAGTTGACTTAACGATGAAAACTTTTGAGTTTTAATTTTGTAAAACATTATGATCTTGGAAGATCTGTCTTGGAAGAATTAAATTGTTTTGCCAGCTGTCGCCGTAAAATTGCAATTTCCTTTTCACTCGAAAACGTTTTTACTGAAACGTATTCCTGGAAGTTTTATTTTCGAGAGCAATAAATTGCAAGCAGTTTCTCTCAAAGGATCAAAAATTGAGCTTTGAAATAGTTTTTGTCACCAAATATATTTTTTGTCTTCCAAAAGAAGGGCTTACCCACGAGGATGACATGTTTACTTAGTGTATTTAAAAAGATATGTTTCTAACCCTCTGTTATTGCTGTGCTCGTTGTAAATTCCGCCTGAGTTGAAATAGCCCATTTTTGCACCTTAGAACTGCGAGTAATTCTTTTAAGTAACCACTCTGAAATCTTACTTCAAGAAGTCTTAGAACACCAGAAAAATCCAATTTTTTGCGGTATAGCATGTTTGAAAAATTGGCTTAGCTTCATCGTCCATTTAACATGTGTTTGCAGAGGTTTTAAAAGGATAAAAACTTGCCTGGCAACATAGATATTACAGAGGTGAGAGAAACTCCAAAATCAGTCCACGAAGAAAGAGCCGGACCAAATTGGTCCGTAATCTTCTTGCGAGACGAAAATGCTTTTCATTCTTTTTGTGTTGCTCTGGCACTTATTTCTTTCTTGCTCTTCATTTTATTTAAAGTGATACAATCCATTTATTTCATTCCAGGTTTTAAGAGCCTAAGGAGCTTTGCCGAGCTGTATCAGGTCATGGGTAATGAATAGAAAAAAACCGAGAATGTATAATTAAGTAGAAACATATCTTTGGAAGTAAGAATCTTATTGCATCATGCAGAACACTACAATCCTTACGGCAGGATATCGATCTATTCGTCACTTAGAAAAAAACGAAATAAAATCATATAGGCGGTTTTTTAAGTTTTTGGAAGGTTTTCCTGAAGCTTAAGAAAGCTTCTTTAGCTAGTGAGCCTCTAAAACAAAGATTTTCAACTGAAAAATCCTTGAGTAAGCTTTCTGAGATGAAATAACCTAGTTTGATTAAGACTTAGGACATTGCATCAATGAAAGATTATCCTCTTTCAAGCTAATAACCGGTGTCGACCTTAAGTATTTGTTGGGGACATACAGCTAGAGTCTCAAGAAAATTTTGCAGGTTTTCTGACTGTTTGCTATGATTTTGAGTCTACAGCTTCCCAGAAAACCTTATCAACGTTTGCTTTTACCCATTCCAGCCAAATCGACTCGCCTTGTTTACAATTATACTGTAACTGTTGAAATGCATGGACGACGACAAAAATCAAATTTTCTCACCATAGCAAGAACACATTTTCTTGAAATATATTTTTTGCGAAGCAAATTCCTTAGTTTCTCGGCAAAGTTTTGGCGAGGTTTGGATAAGTCATAGTAGAAGTCTCTGTACAAAGAAAAAATCCTCTGTAACCTGAACAGATGAAAAAACTAAATAAATCGTTTGTGCGAGAGTATAAAGTACTTTAAACTCAGTTGTTTTCTGTCGAGTTAACCTTTCGTATACAAATACTGAAATGTAAAACAGTTGACTCAAATCTCCTTTCGATAAATGGTAAGGAAAATATTTTCTCGCTTTACAAGTGTGATCAGCATCATGATATTTTCAGTCTTTTTTTTTGTGGGTCGTGGGAGATAATTCTATGGGGGTAGCAGAGTTCCGATAATTTCCGAAAAGACAACAATGCTTGAAGTTAAGGTAGAACTTTCTTCATCGCAGAAAGTAAGATGCAAAAGCATCAATGACATGTTTTGGGTCTGTTCAAGTGTTTTTTGGTCTTTCTAAGCGAACGCGAATTTTATTCATATCTTCCTGTAGAGTGACTGGCAGAGTATTAAGACAACAGTCATAGAGACGTACCACAAAATACTACATGAGCCAAACGAAACAACAGATGTCTTAGAAAAATTGAACATGACTTCCTTGACAGCTTTTGACGAGGCAGCATCAGCATCAAGGGCACCATAGAAACTAATTTTTTTCATTCCTAGTAACTTTAAATTTGTTCTGTGTATTTTCTTAAGAAACTTCAATGATAAAGTTAGCTGAGCTTATATGAAGTTAAGCATTTCCATTCATCTTTTGCTATTTATTGTCCCCTAGAAATGACCTGCTAAGCGTATATGTTAAAATTCTTGTAATTCTATGCTGCTCTCTATCTGATCACTTCGTGGTGACTCACACAACTCTTGTAGAAAGCAAGAGCAAAAAGTACGGCTTCCAAAACTGAGGGAAGACCTTCCTATACGTCGGAAAGATGAAAACGATGACAGCATTTTGGAAATAGTTTTCAACACACTGAAATGCAAAGATTTGGTTATTTTGTTTGTTCTCAGGGCAGTTATGTTCGCAATAAAAAGCAACAAAGTAAGGTCTGTTAAGAAAACTGACAAGCAAACAAGTTATCAAATTCAACGAATTGCCAGCTTTCAGAAACTAGAAATAATCTCCAGAGTTAGAGATGAAGATGCACCTTGTTTAATGAGAGAGTCATCTCTAAAAGTTTGCCACGTTTGTCTGAGTTTGCTTTGTATGTGTATTCGAGTAACAATATATCTTGTGTCGATGTGTAGATGTTTGAGTGTAAAATAAGTTAATAAACATTGATATATACTAAAAATTAGGTAAACCGAATGAGCGAAGAAGCAAAAACTGGTTTAGTTCTGCAAGTTCAAGTTAGTTGGGTCAACGCAAGTTTCTTCTGTGATTTTCGAGAGGGTTTTGAAAATTCCATGGATCTCTGAGGATAACTAAACTGACCCAGAGCCAGATATAATACACCAAATTTTAAATTCTAATGTAAGTCAGACCAAAATTGCTGCATAATCTAAAAAAGGCTAAAATGTTTGTGCTCACAATGACAATTTTTAAAATTAAACGGGGACATTGCCAAGGGAAGGAAAAGATTAACGTAACAACTTGAGAGTCAGAATTTTAAACTGTGGAATATTTAAGCCTAAAAAAGAAATATATATATATATATATTTCTAGGAGGCGAGGAGTTTTCATAAAATTCAAAAAAAATCTGTTGAATTTTTTTCCTTGGAGGACCAAACCGCCTCTTGTGAGTCTGATAATTCATTTTCATTAACCTTCAGAATCAATATATCTATGTACACATGATATTTTTCTAAAACTGGCGTTTTTAATTTGTATGTTTGGTAGAGAGTGATGAAAAATTCGTTCTTTCTAATTGTATTTTCAATTATAAGGTTTATTTGCTGAGGTGCTATCAGGGAGATGTTCATTTATGGTTTTCATTCAACTAACTAACACCTGTCCCGAATTTAATGGCTGCCATTTTCCAAGTGTATTACTTTAATACCAGCACTAGATAAGATTCTGGGACCTGATATTTTCACTTGCCTTGTATATCTAGACTACCTTCATTAATCAGTTTAGAACGAAATAGATAAGCTCTTTAAGGTTGTTTCAACGTACCCGGAATGGAATTGTTGCCAATTCGCCTGCGTGGCTAGAATTTTATATTTGCAAAAGAATTTCTCCAGAATTGATGTAAACCCACGAAGAACAAGACAGAATAAATCGTTGCTTAAACCCGAAAAAACAAAAGTTAGATCTGTCTTTGGTGTCAGTGAAAAGTGCTCTATTGATTTCCCTCGTCATTAGAACTGCTGTACCGGTAGACATCAATTGCCAAATCTCCTTCTCGTGGGAAAAACCAATTTCCGAACACAATTAAAATAGTTTAAACATTTTAATATGCGTCATGAGCCCAATTTTAAGGAAAATAAGCTATACCCTTACAACGGAAGAACAACAGTTTCAAATGACAGTATTAAAACTAAGTTTTATGAATATCCATCAAGGAAAATATTATCTTAATTCGACTGGAAGTACTGAGTAAAAAGTGCAAGTGTCATTTGATAGTTGTGGTTGCTCATTTTTTCAAATGTAAATTTATCAACAAGACGTAAAGTCCAATATTCGTTGAAGAAATGAGTGAGGCTCGTGAAATCTCAGAGACAACCTTGAGCGACCAGTGCATGTATTTTTCTGTCCAGTTCTTCAGATTTTTCACAATCTTTTCAACGGCCAAAATCGCTGAATCTTTCCTTCGTGTCCTTTTAACGGGATGCGTCAAGTGGTTACGACAGTGAGACCTTATTCAAATTTGTACAAAGATAGATAAAATACTTCAGGAACAACCATAATCGTTTGAATTTTTATATCTCCGCAGAAACCTATCCACATAAGATGGAAGTGTGCAAACTGATCCTCAGCTTCCCGCCTTTTTACGTGGCTCGCTATTGTTCCACAAGAAGCCCCTAAAAGGTTTTCTTTTGTTATACTGATAAACATTTCGGCTTATCTGTTAAATGTAAACGACTTCTTTGGAACTTAGTAAAATAAAAGCTTTCAACTCTACTACTTTGTTTTAACTATAGTATGTGTCTCTTAAAAGTAATTACGCCCACAAATCAGTTTTCTTGCACGAGATTGCCAAAGAAATTGAAAATTTCGGTTGCTAGAATAGAGATGATATTCTATTCGCTAGGAAGTTTTTGACTAATTTGTTGTTCTTCGTAAAAACGAACACGAAAGGTTTCAATTTCCTAGTAGTTAGAGCAAGCCGAAACTAGATCTCCTAGTTCCCACGTTCACAAAAGACAAGAAAGAACGCTAAGCCTCTGCTTGGATCTAAAAGAGTCTCTTTTGTTTTTCACGTGCTAGTCTCTTTTGTTTTACAAAATTGCCTTCACATTGCTAATCCCATCGTTCTATAGAAATAGTTGAAGCAATAAAATTGTAATAAACCACAATTCATCTCACAAACGTTGGTCGCTCTTTGTGTCTTTATTGTTTTCACATTCCTATCTTTGTTTTAAGATCAGTTTGGACGACCTTTGCCAGAGAATAGTGGAACGTTTATTCAACAGAGGTCCGTGGAATTTAACCCGGGAGGAACTCCACTTTACTTCGTCTCTTGAAACCAGGAAGCTTTTATTGCATTTGTTAGGTGGAAGTGTTAGACCGATTTTAATTACAAAATTGTCCTATTATGCTCTTTGAAAAGCTTTTGAATCGGAGGCTAATATTCGCGGTAATGCTCTGATCACTGGTAAATTCGCCACACAATAGGCGCTTTCGGTCAATTAATTTGCAATGGCGTCCTTGTCGGTACAAACAGAAAACGTGATTATGTACTGCAACGTTGAAGATTTCACTTCATTGTGGCGATCTTACCGCAAATTTTTATTTATTTAATTATTTCTTCCCCATTTAATTCAGCTCTTCTTGCAAAAACATTCAGGCTCAAGAATTCTTTCTGGTGGTGGTCGTTTCGAAGCGATGCAAGAAATTTTACTTCGTTTGTCTTCGTGTAAACGACCTTTTAAACATGACTGACCAAGAAACTCTTGAAATTGTGTAAAAAGCAAATTTCGCTGCAATTACGGGGCTTGATGATTTTTTTCCTATAACTCGGTCGAACTTTTCTGTAATGACTTAACAATTTCCGACATAATAACACAATAAGAACAATGGGGAGATCAGTTACGGAAGAATTTTCCACAACCTTGGACATGCAACTCTTTTATTATTGATTAAATTTCTTCTCGTGAAGTACTTGACACCTAAAACCACGGTGTCGTACTTTCAGCACTAAGTTTCAATTTTGCGCTATTAGAACAAATCTTGACCATTGCGTGGAACAAAATCTATATTTTCTTGGTAAACACATTAAAGGTTGAATGACACATGTTGTCAAGCCTTTATCGGAAAATCCGTTGAATTTATGAACAGTTCTTTCAGGCCTAATTCTTTATTCATTAGAGTGGTACATTTTTGCATAATCAGAAGCTTCGAGGAGGGCTTTCCCAATTTCCGTACCTTGACATGTTGGTTGGATAATGTTCCCATGTGCGGGAGAAGTAACTGCACGCACGAATTTTGAAACACACACGAGAACAAAATGGTAGTCAAAATATTTGGGAGCGGTTTGTTCGGAAGCAAACATGTACCATGTATTACCCCTCTAAAATAGGATTTTGCTGTACACAGACATATTGAACACAAACACTACGCAAAAATATTTGTTCTCGAATATTAGTTGTTGAAATTGTGCGATATAAACCTTAACTTTTTAAGCGCGTTCAACTCTAGCATTACACATCGGCGTTCACGAATGGGGAAAAGTATCACCTTATTTTACATGGGAGGCTTTGCTTCGGTTTTTTATGAAGAAGGACGCTGTGAAAAAGGCCTTTGTTTTAGCCGTTTGTTTGTTTAGAGGTAAATTGATTTTTTTTTTTTGCGTGGGAAAAATTGACAGTCAAACTGTCGCTTCTTAGGATTAAATCTGACCCTATGTTCGTCATAGGCAAACCTCATCGGTTTTTGCATAAAAGTGATTCGTTGCAATTAAAAGTAGGGTCCGACTTTGGTTTACACACCTTCCCCGATCAATCGTCTCGTTTGTTCAGGGGTTGACACTTATTCAAACCTTTTGTCTCAGAGCCTGTTATTACTCAAAGAAATAATGTTTATCATCGACTCTTTCCAATCTTCCTTAAAAAAAGAATTTCTCGCTTCGGTTTTAATATTGATTGTAATCATGCTGTCTAATTGAACAGCAAAACAGTTTTCGCTTTAGCGCCCATCATCTAAAACAAAGACATCGTTATTGCCGTTTGCGGAATATTTCGTAGGCGTTTCAAAATTCTTGACAGGCAATTTTGCCAGTGTACTTTAATAAAAGTGAACAAAATTCCAAACTTGGGTCTCCGTTGATAAGGTAGCCGTGAATTCTAATTATCCTTCTTGCTGCAGCCTGGGGAAGATTGTTGTGTCAACGACGCCAAAGTCTGCCATTTTTGCAGTGTGTATCGCGCAATAGTTTATTGTAATTGTTTGGTTTCTCTCGATGTACACGAAAAACGAATTCAAACAAGTTAGGAAAATAAACTTATAAATTTTGAATTCTGTTGACTTAGAACTGGGCTGGTTTGGTTTGCTGTTGGCGAGTTAAATATATGTCCGGATTTACAGTTTAGTGCAGATAAAATAGCCGAATAATGAATTTGTTTGTTAAGAGAGAATAATTTTTGAACAGAAACCTTGGCTGACACGGACTCTCGGGTAACGCGAATCGTTCAAGATTTAGTATTTTCCTGAAAGAAAAGACCACATTCGAACTCGAGTTATGTGATGCTGTTGTCGAGGTAACTTACAGAAACTTAAATTTTTTAGGCTGATTCTAATGCATCACTCAACTTCAGTACAAGTGAAAAGTATATATGCCCGAGGCGGTTGACAGGAGTTTTACTGTGACTATTTTGATCGCAAAGAACTTCACAGTTGAGCTTCATTGGACTAATGCAATTTTCTCTTCCGCCAGTTATCAACACAATCTCGGCCTTACATGTTTGTCCAAAATAAAAACTTAACATTCGATAGAACAGAGATTTTAGTAGTCTTTGTCTTAGATCTACCTTAACTTCGTTTACATTCGTTTTCCTTCGGTAATTGTTTTCGACAGTTTTAGATACAATATCCACTAGTGAGAATATTTTATAACAGAAGCAAAACGCTTCTCCAATACACTAGGATCATATTATCTTCTGATATTGTGGTGGTTCTTGTTGAATTTACTGTACTGTTTTAGCTCCTAGCGAGAGCTGCGCTCAGGATTGCTTTGTTATGAGAAAAAAAAATCTTTTTAAGTGATTTGGACAAGAGAAAACACTGTGCACCTTAATCAGCATAATGGTAAAAATACCAAGGTATCTCGGGAGGAACATGTTACATCAACTCTGAGGGTGCTTTCACGCGAGAATGATCGTGACGCTAAAGAAAGCAGCGTTTAAATCATCAAGTAATCCTTAGAGTATTCACAAAGTGATAGCATAGCCAACATTTGAGTGGAATTACAAATATTGGGCCATGCAAGACTTCCAGGACAAACACTCTCCCGAAATATTGTCCTACAAACGTTTACAAACTCGAAAGTAAGTTTCAAATTATGGAAAACAATTGCTAATATAAATTAAGGAATGCATCGACGTTTTAAGCCCCTTTTCTTTCGAATTTAACGATGTAAGGTGTTCTTCCTCCTTGAGAGAATAATTTTAAGTAGGATTGTATTCGTTTTGCGAATGTCAACAAGTGTAAAGTAATCATTATGTTTCATTCACACAATCTTAGAACAACACGGCACGAAAACCCTTGACTTAGCTTTCCCTGCTCATTTAAACTGTGTCAGTTCCAAAAACATCATCACTGTTGCCATATTTGAAGGATTTTTAAAACGCCTTCTGCTTAGTTCCAGGGAAATAATCACCTCAAAAGGGTAGTATATCGGCCCTGTAAGTAGCCTGGTATAAAATATGTCCGTTTCGTGCCTATATTGAAGTTTAGGGCTGGTTTGAGTAATACATGGGAAGTCTTCAATTTACTTTACTCCTTTCAAATCCTGATCAGAAACTTATACTGTTATCTCTCTCGACCTGAAATTAGCAATTAGTTCATCCCATACTTCATCGCTTTTAAACTATATTTTCAGTAGATCTCCATATTTTAGTACAGATATTTCTAAATCCTTTTGTTAAGCGGAGTTTGGGTTTTGGAAAATCTACTTCAGTTTAATGTTAAAAATCCGTTTTCTTTATTTTTTTTCTCCAATCAAAGTTTGTACGCAACCGCGCAAATTTTATTTCGAACGCGAAACAATGGATGTATATGTTTCAAATTTTCCCGTTAGCACCTCTCTGCAAATTTACTCCTTGCTGCCATCAGTGTTTTCTTTGGATAACTTTACAATGCCACAGTTCTTCCAATTTCGGTGTATTCAGCTTCACAACATGATAAAATATGCCTTTATTAAAAGATTAAATTTTTTTTCAGTCGTGAATGCTTTGAATGGAGTTGTGTAGTTTGAACATGGTTTGAGTGACACCTCATAACCGGTTTTTTGTAAAATAGACACTTTGAACAATGCAAGATTTTGCTAACTTTCGGCTCTAATGGAACAAACAAGGCTTGTGAAATGTTTGAAGAAAGCTTTGCGGCACACCTGACAAATGAACAAGGAAATTGTCACTGTTAAAATCAGATGTTGTTCAAAAGAAATTTCAAAAAAGACAGTAGGAAATTTTTAGGAGAAAAGTGGAATAAAAGTTTAAGAGAACAAAGGAATACAGGAATATGTTTGTTACGTTTCGCATTTAATTTTATAGGACGTTACCTTGCCGTATATTCAAGAAATGCATATGTTCACTTATGAGAAAAAATTGAAATAAGTGATAGTTTTTTGGTTGATTTGGTCACAAGGCAAATAACTCTGTTTTTATGAATCTCGGCTAAAATGAAACTAGAGGTTGTTTAAAATACTGGTATTCTTTCTTCATAAAAACCAAGCATTTCAGCCAAGTAGTTTGTTTTGATCCGTTTATCCAGCTTTGTCCATGCTATAAAGTGATTGCACAAAAAGGCCGCGTTTACTTCAGCTGACAACTATTACCGGCCTACGAGATGAGAATTTAAAAACCCATTTCTTTGGAATATGATATAGTATTAATTTAAAAGAGATTGTCATATTGAAGCAGTTGGCATCAACTTCCCTAATTGCTTTTGTCGCGGTTTTCATTTGGTACAGTATGCGGCAAGGGTTCTATCTTTTGTTTACTTAGCTTTTAGTTCTATTGCACATCTTTGGGAAGACCTAATAAATCCCATTTATATTGATAAGTGAATTGCCTGAATGATTTGTTCATACCGCTAGCTTTTTTTTTCATAGACACATATTCCAACTTAGAAAGCAAATTATTGTTTCCCCCCCCCCCCAAAAAAAAAAAATGATACATGGAAAATTAAATTCCAATTGTTGTATTTGGATTTCCGTTCTGCTCTCCAACACTGTAGATTTTCATGGCGACCCTTAGAGAATGCCTTCCACCTTTTCTTCATCCATTGTGTGCATCTCCTTGAGTTTTAGTTTTTGCTTTCTTAGTACTCCAGGAGTCCATGAGGTTGAAATATTAGTTGAGCACTATGTCACCCACTTCCCCATTTTCAGTCGCACAAAGTTGCTATTGTTTTTTTTTTTTTAGAGAAATGGTCTGGCGTAGTTGATTAATTTTATCAGCCCCAAGCGATTATAAACAGTTGATAATCTCTTTATCAGCCCCTGTAGCTGCTTATGGCAAACTTGCAGAACAGGTAAGGTGGCTCTGCAGTTTCTGGTCGGAATATTGTGTAAAATTTATGATGGGTTTAAAGTTAGTCTTATCTTTTTTAATTAATAAAAAATATGGCTCCCTAACCAATTTTTGCCATTAAAGCAAATGAAGAAAAATTGAGGGTGTTTTCACCTATAAAGCTGTTACTATGGTAACTGTGGGTTGAAGATATACTTCGAAACATGAACTGGAAATTTCTTGAAACTAAAAATTTGTTGTAAATTAACGCAGGATAATGGATGGTATTTATAGCACAGAAGCCCAGCTAGCTGCTTTGAGCCGCCCTAAAATTCTAAGTATCAATTTAATTCAGTTTCATAGAGTTTTGCAAAAAACTTAAGCTTCTGTGTTGTTCTTTTTTTCAGATTTCATTGGAGGTGCAGTTTTATTATAGAAAAGAAAAACGTCCAGCAGATGACCGATACACTTTTCCAGAGGTGTCCGTATGGAACATTTTGCAAAATACCTACAAGGACGTGAATTTTCCCCAAAATATTTGAGAGGATGCGCGAAAAACACTCACACTTTTCACTGCCTGTAATACTTGCTCATCACTATTACTCAGTTACATATTGAGAACAGGAACCTCTCCATCAAGTGCAGTTACGAGGGAGAGATATTTTGCCGCCAAGATAAGTATGTGTGTGTGTGAAAAAAAAAAAAAAAAAACACTACAAACAGTCTTTACCATTACAGTCAGTAAAACTTGCTCATCACTACTACTTATTATTTTGCTTTTCATCAGAAGACCCAAGTGGCCCTAGGTGCGCTTTTATAAATAAAAAATAAAAAAAAAAAACATCAGACAAAAATCTCCTTATGAGGGCCGAATGCGATGGCGTGGCCCCGCGACTCTTGGCCATAAGAGGCGAAGCTGAAAGAAGAAAAACAGACGCTCATATGATAAAATACTTATTGACTGAGTTGGCTCAAGACAGACAGGAAAATATTTGGCTCTCAGTCATGACGCATGGACCACGTGCTAACCTTGAGCCAAATATTTTCCCACCTATGCCTTCCACTTAGTCAACAGGACAGCTGTAACAATTTTTCTTATAATTGTATACAATGTATGACCTGCTAATGAAAGGAAATGAGAGGAACGTTACACGGCAGAAAGAGAGAAACGAGTAAATATAGAGAGGAGGAGGGAATAAGGATGCTGAGACTAGGAGAGACACGGCCAGGAATTTGAGAGGTAAAAGATAGAAAAGAGACAACATTGTTTTCATAGTACCGCCATAGATCAAATACTTTCGAAAAGACTTGCCTATTCGAAAACAAGTTATGAAAACGTTGATCATTCAATCTTCTAATCAAATTGTCTCTGTGTACTTTTCCTCCTATAGGTTAGTAAAATTAAATTACATGGTATTTCGATCATTATCAACATGAACTCAAGTCATGCTAAAATCAGAACAATTGGACTCGCTCAGTGAAAAGTGGTCCCTTAAATGCCATTCCCTTTAATGAAAAGGAAGGGAGCGAGCCTTAATCCACTTGGAGGAAAGATTATTTTCCCAAAAATTGATATGAGGTCTTTGGCATAGAGAAAGGGAAGAGAAGAGGAAGGGAAATTCAGATACGTAAATAGCCTTGTGTGATTGGTATCACCGGGACAACTAGGTAGCTTGAACACAAGCCATACAGACTCAAAAGGAAACGTTTTGCCCAACGTGGATCAACAGGTCATATTGTGCTGGGCTCTGTATTACCCGGGGCTAAATGGATAAGAGGGAAAGAAAGATGAATAAATGAGAAGACATAAGCAGCAGGTGCCTAAATGAGAGTCATTTTCCGAGTAAAGGATACCCTCTGTGATGCCTCTAAGTTTTTCCAAAAGATTGCTAAAAGATGATATATAGAGGATTGAAATTTCGTCATGTCACAGGTAACGCGCAGGTTGCTAAGCAAGGAACAAAATGGCAGCAGCAGTAGTCGAATTCTTGGCATATTTGAGGATAGTTTCCGAAATTTTGGGTTACTCTCTGGGATCTCAAACTGCAGTGGGTGTCATGACTTCACATACATTATTATTGGAAAAGATAAAATATGATATTCATAGGCATTTTTCCCCTTTTGAAGGAGACTACCTAAGAAAATCTATTGCAACACAAATGATGATCAGTGAACTGCAACTTTGAACGCTGAAGCCGTGCGTGTTGTTGATCCCGGCCTCCTGGATGTTTATGATGAGATCTTGGTCGAGCGCAGATTGAACAAAAAATATTCCAGACAGCACCACTGGAGATTCGAGAGAAACTCTCGAGGACTTTGACAGGTGTCATTCTTCCTAGAGCTGATTGAAACCTCTAGAGATTATTATCTACCTTGACATAAACAGAACAACACAATGTATCAAAGCCCCTGTTACAAGGAACCTAGATATTAATGACTGCCAAGTCATCGCCCTCCTAAATTATCAGGTGATAAAAATCTAGGGCTAATAATTTAGTCACTAAATCAGGGAGCATCCGCGACAAACCCGACTGCACATAGTGTGCATTTCTTTTGTTCTCACCACATTTTAACGTCATCTATAATAATAGAATAGAAGGGGTGCAACGACGTGCGACTCGGCTTATGTTACCCGATTTTAGCTATAATGAACGCCTAAAACGTCTCAACCTGCTACCACTGGTTTACCGCAGAGAAGTCAAGGATCTTTCAACTTTTTATAAACTGAAGTGCGGGCATTTTAACTCTTCACTTAAGTCGTATTTTCAATTTTGTTCAGATGAGAGATTAAGATCGCATGCAAGTAATAAACTAAGAATTAATAGATTCAGGACGGAACTTTTTAAGGGAACATTTTTTAATAGGATTCCGTATCTATGGAACAATCTGCCTGATGCGTTGAGGACGGCTAGCTGTAGTGTTTCTTCTTTTAAGAGACTATGCACTAATTTTTATAACGATAGGGTTTTCGACCCTGAGCACCCATGTACCACCTGGGCTAAACCAGCACTTAGTTAGTAAGGTTGTTAGTTAGTAAGTTAGTTAGATTACTCAGTTAGGTAGTTAGCAGCTAGCCAGTTACATACCTTGATTAAGTTTTTTATATATCCGTATATTTTCTTCATAATGGGTTGACTAGCACGTATGGTTCGTCAGTTCCCTTCTAGTCTTCCCCACTGCCTTGTTATGTAACCTAATTTGTTATTATTGTGTGTTCTTTTGTTTTATTTTCCCATGTAATTGCAGTGAAATGGAATAAATTAAATTAAATTAAATTAAATTAAAATTAAATTAAATGTACCGATAGGCACGTAGTCTGAAATGCTAGTCATATTATGTGCTCATTTCAGGATAGTAAGCNCTTTTTTCTTATTTTCGATATTTCATAGAAAAAAGACGAAAATATATTTTATTATAACATAACCAAAGTGAAGCGCGCGCTCTGATAGGTCAATTTAGCGTCCCCCATCTGCCCGTGGGTGTACGCTGCAGACGTGAGCAAATGCAAAGACTATTTTTCCGCGCGCGCTTGTTTTTTCTGGTCATGTAAGATTTGTTAAATAAAAGGGAACTCTTTAGCTACAATGTATCAATGTTATGTTATAAAACAAATGGTAAACACCTCAGCGTACACTATTGAGTTATGGATGCACTTGGGAGGTTTGCTAAGCACTCAAGAAGCTAGAGTCGCTCGAGGCGATAGCCGAGAGCGACTCTTACGCTTCGTTCGTGCTTAGCAACCTCCCGCGTGCATCCATAACTCAATAGTGTACGCTGTGGTGTTTACCATTTGTTAATTTAAGACCGCACAACGTGACCATGTTATTGAATAGGTGATTGGTTTTAGTTTATTAAACTATTCGCATATATATCTTATTTAAATTGTTCATTTGATTTGTATAATTTATATTCATTTTATTTACAGATTGCATGTATCCTTTATTCAGTCGGAATACTGAATATACAGTTTTATCTAGAATAGTGTAATGTAGAATACCGCTTTATCAGTCAATAATGTAGAAGTATAACTCGCACAGGTTTGCCAACATTTACAAGACAAACCGGATCGAGTTAGTCAAAGCCTCAAAAGAAATTTGCGGCTGTTTTTTAAGAGACAGAGGGTAGAGACAAAAAGGGAAGCGTCCCTGACAACCAAGAACTCCTGCAAACTTTGGGTAAACCTGAGGCGTGTATTCAGAATTGTGCTGCAGTTATTTTTTTGGAGAAATCACTATAGATTAACAGAACAAAAAGTGGGTAATAGTCCTGCTGAAGCAACAACTAGAGATTAATTATATTACATACTGTACCGAAACTTTTTGTTTCTAGGAAAAGCACAGTCTCCATATAGGTACAATTGATCGTTAACCGTTGGTTTTTGTTTAACAATCAGATTTCGTCTTCGGAATTTGGTCAGCCAGGTGCTAAAATAGGTCGTACATATGTGCATGTTTACGCGAATAAAATTTGTTTTCGGCCGTGGCGTTTTCGAGACCTTATTCCATTCCCTTGGGCTTTGAAAGTGCCAATAGTTCTTCCATCTGACGAAAGGCTAACGCTCAAAACGTCACCTATCAAGTCTTTTGCACGGTGGCCAATTTATCAACTCAGTTGATAAAACCGAATACCAAAACCCCGGGTAAGAGGATATTTGTAAAAATCCATTGAAAAATAGTTAGTAGCTACTAACTATGATTGAAAACAGTGAAGATGGACAGTATCGACGATCTAGTCAAGTCGCATCCTCGGAGACCCAGGGGCTGTGAGTCGATTTCAAGTTAAGGGCAGAAGAGCCCCTGGGGACATTGTCTTACAAGACTAGTTCCAAACGGTCGCAGTCGTTCTGGCATCTGATTGGTGCCAGAAAATATTTGTGTTTTTCTGCCCAATCAGAGTGAAGTGTCCTTTATAATTTGCTGTGACTGAAACTTTTCCAATCCCGTGAAGCTATTTCGTCGCACGGGCCACGCTGGTAATGTCGAGCAACTGGCGCTTACGCAACTTTTTGTGCACGCCCGGCCAAAATCTAATGTGATCTTCGCTTGAAAAAAAAGAAAAGCTAAACGTGGAAACTTTTGTTTATTAGATATGGATAGATAACCCTGTATTAAGCTGACATTTACAATAAAGGAAACCCGACCTTTCCATCCAATATTTCTTGGTCCAGTTGGTTTTGTTTTCCCCAATGAAAGCAGCATTGATTTCCAATGATCAAACGTATTTAACTTGGTCTGCGACAATCGACAAAAGAGGTGAAATGACAATGACCCAGGGACTAGAAGAGAATCCGTGGCCTTTCGAGCTCAAGAATTTGAACACTCTACACGACAGTTGAAAGATTAAACTTTTTCCAAACCCCTTCGGTAACTGTCCGAAAACATATCTCCTTTCCACGATGTTCTCGATGATTAGTTTTTGTTCAGATTTTAATTAGCTAACCGAAAACACAGCTAAGCTTTCTTTAAGCGCTTGCTGGAGGTCGTCCACGTACTTAACGTTCTCTGCAACTTGGCCATATTGCGAAAGACTTTACTACAAAGCAACGATTAGAATTTGGCGCGCACAGAAAGCTACGTAAGCGTAA